TTAGAACTTCATCTACATATCATCCAATTCAATCACTCAATCATATCAAGAAGAGTTGAACAATTAACACCACAATCAATTTTAAAACATCTTCCTCTTCCTAATATTCATTGTTATTTGTGCAATTATTTATTTAAGTGTGGCAAAAAGATACACAACAAAACATTCTCTGATCAACAGCCTCCACAGGTAAAATTCAGGGCTCTTGAAGTTAAACAAGTGCCCAGCTAGCAGGGAAGCAACAAAGTCCACATGGAATAAGCACACCAGGCATCAGAAGACCCAAAGCAATCATATCGATGCGAATGAGGGGGGTCAGAGTGGAGACCCAAAGCCCATGTGTAGGCAATTGGACATCCTGCCACAGAAGGGAGGATTCAGCCAGGGTGCAGTAGAGCACCAACACACAACATTCCTCTAGTTCTTGAACGCTTCCTCCCCGCCACCGCCCACCCCACCCCCACTCCCCACTACCATGACCTCAGTTCTACCTTACAAATTCTGCTAGACCAGAGTATGTATATTGGGAGAGATAAGACCTCTCAAAGCCTGGATTCCAGGACAGATAACCCCTCAAAGACAGTAATGGGAGTAGTGACACCATGAGGATAGGGGAAGGGGGAGAAAGGGAACCAACCACAATGAAGGATATATATCCTCCTGAAGGGGACAAATAAAAGAAATGTGGGTGAAAGAAGAAAGCAGTTGGTATAAGAAACAAAAATAACAATAATAATATGTAATTGATCAAGGATTCACAAGTGGGGGAGGGTGGGGGAGGGAGGGGAAAAAAGAGGAGCTGATACCAAAGGCTCAATTAGAAAGAAAAATGTTTGAAAACAATGATGGCAACATATGTTCAAATGTGTTTGACACAATGGATGTATATATGGATTGTGATAGGAGCTGTACGAGCCCCCAATAAAATGATTTTTAAAGAATCAAAAAAGAAAATGATGATGGCAACATATGTACAAATGTGCTTGATATAATTGATTTATGGATTGTTACAAGATTTGTAAGAGCCCCATAAAATAATTCATTAAAAAAATAAAAAGAAGGAAAAATAACCCACAGTCCTATAGGGTCAGGAAAAAATAAAATAAATAAGGTTCAGTGCCTTTGATTATATTCTTCTTGTTGTACAATGATTATTGATATCCTTTTCCATATTATTCCACCACCATTAACATAAACTCAATGTCGCCTAAGCAACAACTCTGCCTCCTTCACCCATGATAGCCATTGGTCAAGTTTGATTTCTTTCTTTCTTTCTTTCCTTCTTTTTTTAGTAGTTTTCTTGATATAATATTCACATATCATACACTTCCATTGTTAAAGTGTTTTTTAAAAGAATTGTATATACATCATCACAATCAGTTCTTATGCTCCCTCCCCCCTCCTGCACTCATATTTTCCATTATTTCTTATGGAAAACGTATGTTAAATTTGCAAACTTTTCAGTGTTTGAACACAACTTTGGAAAGAATTGAGTTCTACAACTGAGGTATCATTGTATTTAATATGGCTCTTCTGACCATAGGCTTTAATTCTCCCACCAAATGACCATTTTTCTGATGGGTCTAAGTAAGAAATTGGGCGGGGATAAAGGGGTGGATATGATTTGATTATATGATTCAGCTCTGTGTGATACTTATTAGGGCTAATTGTGATTGTCATATGGCTGACTATAAAATAAATCATCTCAAAACCAGGCGGGGGGGGACTCTCGCTACCTGCAAGTGAGAAAAGCCAGGAGTGAAGTACATCCTTTGGACCCCTAGACACCTGTGCACTGAATGTCCTTGATCCAAAGACAGTTTGGACACCAGAGAAGTGGTATAGGGGTAACAAGCACAGAGCCAGGAGGCAGAGCATGAGATAGAGTGGTGGACTTCCCAGAATACAAGCCAAGTAAACCTGAGTGATTGGGGACAAGAGTTGTAAACCACTCTGACTTGTAGAGTGGGATGTCTCTGAGCACTTAATTGGGGGAGCTGGGTTTTCTGATCCACAGAGCAGGAACTAAATGCCTTCAAGTTGAGGCTTATAGAGGAGTGGCATGCCTTTGAGCATGTACTGGCAGCCCTAATAGAGCTTTGGAACACTGCCTGAGGAGGCCAAAAGGTTGAGGGACAGAGAAAGGCCACTCGATAGGCATAATGGAAAAGAAACTATCCTAACTGAACAACCTTATCCCAAGCATTTCTCACCGCAATTATAACCTGCTAACCTTATTAATAAACCCCATAATCATGATCACCATCTCTGAGTTTTCTGAAGCCATTGCAAGGACCTACCAAACCCAGCCACAGAAGTAGAATGTCCTGCAAGGGACAGTTGGGGTCAGCATGGGGTTATGAAGGATAGAGCGTGAAGGAGGCCTGCCTTATGACAATCAGTCTTGGGAACTGGAGGAGGCTGGGTGTGGCCTCCATGACTTTTCAACATAGGGTTTTGATGAGGAATAAATTAATCGATCCAAGGAAATAAATAAATTAATTGATCCAAGTGTTCAAGCAGTGTCCAATGCAGAGTAAGTGGTAAATTAACAAAAAAAAATTGTTCTATGATGAGGTGACATTCCAGCAAGCTTATATAGCATAGTAAGTGGGAAAACATATAAGACACTGCTATGAATCCAGGACTGCTTCTAACCACATCCTATGCATGACTCAGTAGTTTGGACCCCGGGACCTGTGTTTTTAAGCACTGTTACATTTCCTCCTTAAGGAGAAGAGAGAAGAGAGAGAACAAGATGGTTTGCTGAGGTCATTTGTTTCTGCGTCCTCTTTAAACTTGAAAAGGTATTGCAGAGACCCAATTTCGCGAAGCATAAGCAAGTCAGTCTATGTCCGAGGGTGGTCCAATACATAGCCATCAGCAACAGTTCCTCCCTGGTATTGGTAGACCAGAAGCTGGATTTGAGCTGAATAAAATCTGGGGATTTTTCTCCATACTCCATACTCTATTTACAAAGAAATTTGGTTACATCGCTGGCATCTTTTTTTTTTCTATGTTTCTTGTGTTTTGTTTTTTTTAATGAATGATAACAATTACGTGATACAGTCCTCAGAAATCTTCAGAAAATGTGTCAGTGTTTAGTAATAAAGCAGCTATTGAGCAAGATTTAATAGTAATATTCCAAGAACCAAGTTCACTGTCATCTAGTCAATTCTACCATAAAGGACAAAGTAGAATTGCCCCTGTGGGTTTCTGAGACTGTAACCCTTTAAGAGAGTTGGAAGCCTCATTTTTATTCCATGAAGAAAATGATGGCTTCGAACTGCTGACCTTGTAGCACAGCCCATAACCACAACAGCCATTATAGATTTCATGCTTGCTTACTGCTGAGCTGTGCTTTAAGTGACTTTTTTTTTCTTGAAAGAGAACCCTTATCCTCCAAGGATCCGTGACCTTTCCCTTTCTTCCCAGCTCCATGACCTGATGTAAACAGTCACATCAAATAGGAACCACATTTTCACATCAAATTCAAGCACTCTTAACTTTAAAATGAAGCCAACATCAGAAGAAGCAAACACTGCCGCTGTAAATGTTTTCTCTCGTGGAGCCCAAGGAGAACAAGAGAATCCAAGTGAGCAAAGCTCACTCTTGTCAATGAAAGTCTAATTTCCCCACTCATTTAGAAATAAAACCCTCTATGCTGTAAAGTCATATTTCAGAAAAGAAATCCATAACCACCCCTTCAGTGAATTTCTCAACTTATTTTCACAAGGTTATATTGTCATGTATAGCTGACGGTTTGTTTGCCCTTTTATCCAATTCTTATAAAACTATATTAACTTTTAAGATTATATTTAATTTTAAATATAATTATGTATATTGTTTGACTGGTCTTATGTAATACAAATCAAATCACTGAATTGCCCATGGTTATAATATTCCACTCTATTTTAATTATTTATTAACTAAATATATCAAATATAAAATGTTATTTGACCTAGTCCTTGTTGATCATAAAAGATTTATGACAAAAGTATATTGTCAATATTCCCCTTCGTCTCCTAAATATCTTGGTGTTAACAGAGTTTCTATACTTCAGATGCCCCAAATTTACCAGGCAAAGCATGTTCTAAATCTTACTGCTGTAAGCTCATTTTCCCAAACTGTTATTATACATAATAAGAGACTAGATTTGACAGCTCCTATAATAACACATTATAAATTTTACATGGGGTGTGTGGGTTTTTTTCCTTAAATTCTTGTGACGGCAAAACCGTTTTCCTCAAAGCTGATTGGTTGTGCAGGTCTACCACAGTGCTTAAATGTGACCTTGCTACCGTAACCTCTCTGACAAGGAAGAATTCTTTCATTTCCAGCTTTTTCAGACGTGACCATGACACCCGCATGAAGAATTTTGTTTTATTTTTAAGATATGTGTCTTGCTCCTCAAGCTCGCTCTGGTTTCAGAAGTCCGTAGTCATCTCCACTCTAGACCATTAGGGTTATATTTTAAAGGTTGGCTAACACAGTTCCAGGACAAGTTATTTTATACATTGTGCCACTTCTAACTGGCACTGGGTGAGTATTAGAGATCATCAACACTAATTAATAAGGTTCCAAATAACTAACTTCATAGATGCTGTATTTCCTTGCCGCATGCCTTGATATTGATTGTGTATTATTTTCACGCATTTTCTTATAAAATTTGGTAATCATTAGTTTATGTCTTTCCTGTATGTTTTCGTACAACCCCCAGAAAACGCACTGCATGTTATGCTTTGTACATTTCCCCAGAGAGCGGTCATGTCCAAGCAACATTGTACTCGAAAGATCTCACAGTGTCATTCCTGCTTCTCATTTTCACCCTAATTTGGTTTTCACCCAACTCTGAAAGCAACAAAAGATTCAACTTAAAATAACAAGACATATGCTTCCTTAGAGCTGAAACTTTTTGCTATTCGTTTTATTTATTTGTTTGATTTCTACATTTGCATTTATATTGCTAAATCTATTTATTTGTTAAAGGCTTATGAAAAATGGTGCTACTCCAGTGCAGGCATGGAACCTCTTTCCCTAAGCTAGATCGCCTGGTGAGTATTTCATTTACTTTTTCTCAGTGCATAAGGGCCACTTATTGAGCTACTATACTTATCAGAAGTACACTTGAGAGGGAAAATACACGATTTAAATATGGCAGAAGGATCAGAGAACATCAACGGTCACAGAAGGAATGGAAGTAAGAATAGGTACAGTCGTTATAATCCACAATCATCCAAAAAGTATCATTCAGAACTTCCCTCTAATCATTTGACTTCAGAAGTCACCAACAGGATCTATATTAATTTTACAAAACAGAAAATGATTGACATTTTATATGTGCAAAATAAAAGACCACATATTCCTATATGAGTGGGTACTATAACAGAAACATTATCCAGATAGCCGATGATATTCCTGCTATAGAGAGTCCTGCTTTGGCTGATTCAGCCAAAGAGGAATTAAATGCCCCAAAACCTGGACCGTAATCATAGAATGGAAAGTTAAAGGAAAGTCTCACCAGTATTCTCTTTCTTGTGTTATGATAAGCCTATACTAAGAACACTAATTTTAGTTGTTATTATTTTTAGTCCTCTCTAGAATATTAAGATTCTGAACATCGTTAGTAAGTGGGAACGACATTAGTACATACTACTATATTTACCTATTACTCGCAATTTCTCTGATATCGCTATGATAATTGATTGTATTTATTTATGTTATTCAGAAAGCAAATTAGAAAAAAAAAGTTGATTATAAAAATACTAGAGTGTCTTTTCATTATCTACTCCCTTGGGAAACAAGCAGAGGGTGAAAAGTGCTTATGTCACTACTAGCTGTATTTCACACTGAGAAAAAGGGAAGAAGACACCAAAGAAATGCACAAACCCTGGTGTCTATAACGATTACAGGCGCTCTGGTGGCATAGTGGGATGTGCTGGACTGCTAACCTCAAGTCAGCAGTTCAAACCTACCAGCTGCTCTGAGGGAGAAAAATGAGAATGTCTGCCCCTATGGGTCAGAGTCAACTCAGTGGAAGTGAGTGTATATGATAGTGATGGCCTCGTGGTTCCATGATTTAGCTTTCAGCTGCTAATTGAAAGGTGGGTGGTTCAAATGCATGGGGGAGACAGATGAGGCTTCCTATAGCCCTGTACATTTACAGTCTCAGAAACTCACCGTGGGAGATCTACTCTGTCGTACAGGGTCATTATTATGAGTCAGAATCCATTTGACAGCAGCAGGTTTGGTTTTTAATTTATATCTGGGTTCCTGTGCTAAGTACTGAGTCAGATCTCCTATGCCATGAAAATCAATCCTTTGGAATATAACCTCCACTTTCCTCCATCATATATAAAAATAGGAACATTTTCATAAGGAACCAAATAATTGCATCAAAGCAAGCCTTGTTTAAAGATGGAAACGAAAGCCTTAAACATCCAAAACCAAACTCGCTGCCATCGTCGATGCCAACTCATAGTGCCCCTCTAGGACAGGGTAGAACTGCCTGTGTGGGTTTCTAAGACTTTAACTTGTTACGGGTGTAGAAGGACCCATCTTTCTCCCACAGTGCAGCTGGTTGTTACCAACTGCTGATCTTGAGCTAAGCAGCCACACTCATAACCCACCATGCCACGAGAGGTCTTTTGTGTGTAAGCAACTAGAGCGAGTTAAATGAAATTCATAAAAGCGATCTCCAGATTGTCCTATATGGCTGTCTATCATTTCAACTTGTTCTCTGTATGCCCAATGGAAGTTTCTCAGACTCTACAAAGACACTGCCATTGAGTCGATGCCAACTCATAGCAACCCGAGAGGCAGAGTCGAGCTGCCCCATGAGTGTCTGAGACTCCAGCTCTTAGTTCACAGGAATACAAAGTCCTCTCTCTCCCCAGAAAAGAAATGAGCAGCGCCAAATGTACATTTCTGCCTAGTTCTTCCTATTCCCCTGCCTGCTCCCGGATCAAAAGTGATGTTTTAAATGGTAAAATAATCATAGCAATGAGGACAACAGAAACAACAGAAGAGCTAGACGAAGAGATTTTGTTGCTAGTTGTCATCAGAATGGCTCAGATTCATGGTGCCCTTACGTAAGACAGAGTTAAAACTGCCTGGTCCTGAGTCACGGGTCAATGGGCCTATTTCCATTTATCTAATTAGCCTCTATAAACTCAAATATTGTCTGTAGATCTTAGAAATGAGTACAAACTTCTAATTTTAGAGGATGCCCTCATTAAAAACAGATTTTCTGTATTGTGAGTGCAATTGAATACCACTACAGCTTTCTTAATCAACCTAACAACTAGAACTTTAAACCATCAATGATCCTATGTTGAGGGGTAACTTAATTGCTAAAGTCCTCAGTTCAGTGCTATGTTCCCTCACAAGCATTATTGAAATCTCTCTCTCTCTCTCTCTCTCTCTCTCTCTCTCTCTTCTTTCCTTTAAACCTGCTCTCCTTGGGCAGTTTGGAACAGGGCCTGGTCATAACTAAACAACTACCAAATAGTTTTAATAAGATGCAACCGAAATGACAGCAGAAGCCCCACCACTGTTTATTTCTAGATGCTCCTTGACAGACAAGTAGAAAGGGTAGAGTCTCCTAAATATAATTATCTTTCAGTCCACAAATAAAACTCAGCTTTTTATTTCAGGTATCCGTTGGACAAATGAAGATCCTCATGGTCTTTCTAGCTCTGCTTGGTAACTCCACTGCTATGCCAGTGAGTATTAAGGGGGAAAATTAGGCCTTTTATTTGTGGACAATAAGTTAGCTCCTTTCAATAAGTATTTTGCCTTTGATACTGATACTCTCTCCCTTCCAGATGCAAATGCCCCGGATGACCAGATTTAGCAGTAAAAGTGAGGAGGTATGTGTGTTCAGTCTCTTCTGAAAGTACATTTTCTGAGGACAAGGAGAACCCATTAGGGAGGATATCAGAGTCCTAGCCTGCAATTTCATAAAAAACAATATTAGAAAACATTTTTATTCATAAAATATTTATTCATAAAGGCAGTAATTTACCCCCAACCTCATTCTATCTGTGGGCTTCAGTGATTCTTTTTCAAGTAAATGTGGATTTGGGTTAAAGTCTTTACTGTGTTCTAGCTAGTAGGGTGGCCATTAGAGTGCTTAGGAGGTAGGTGTTTGCCCGCAGAAAGACCCTTTACATGTCCCTGGCCCAGGGTCATTTTGTTGTTCGGGGCCATCAAGCTGGTTCCGACTCATCGCCACCCTCTGCACAACAAAAGGAAGAACGGCACTGACAATCATCCCTATGCCTGAGCCCACTGTTGAACCCCTGTATCAGCCCATCTCATTGAGGGAGGTTCTCTTTTTCGCTGTTCCTCCCCTTTACCAAGCATGACGCCCTTCCCCAGAGACTGTGGAGCCTTTGTTTTGACGATTGCTTTAATGCAGTGTGAACCTCTTCCTTCAGCACCCCTGGTTCTGGCCCAGAGGCTACCTCCTGAAATGGTGGGAGGTCAACTAGTTCTTTTTGGTACAGTGTCAGGATCATTGACCAAATACAATACACACTTGAGGGAAAAGTATCTCCTCATATAATTATCAAATTCTCAAACCCTGAATTCCAGAGGAATGAATCAGAATGTTCAAAAACTTGTAAGCCAACCAGATTTTTATCCACTAGTATTTTTTAGTGATTCTTTTCTAACTAAAATCCTGAATTAAAATTAAAGTTCTCCGTGAGTTTATTTCTTTTCATTGCATAATTATTTTAAAATCATGTATAACCAGGGGGAAAAGGATGAATACTGTACTTTGAAATCAGAAGACCAATTTTTTTTAATGATTTATGGGTTGATTGAATACAAAAGTTTCATTTCTTGTTCCCCTAATGGATTCCTTCAATCACAGATGATGCGATACGGTCAGTTCAACTTCATGAACTCTCCACATGTAAGTCCCTCTTTACATTATTCCTGATAACCTCTTGTTTGTATCTGGTTAGCTACATTTTAAAGAGTTATCTTAGCTACACCAAAGGCTAGCCACATGGTTTAATTACAATATACAGCCAGTTCTCAGATTATAAATGAGTTCTATTCCTTAATCTATCTCTAAATCAAATTCATATATAATTTGGAGCAGTTCATATCCAATCTCAGTAAATACTTGTCTTACTATATAGTGTACAATTCTATGTATAATAATATTAAACAGTTCCAGATACACTAGCGCATATTTATCTTAATAACATAGAATACTAATGTTTGATGCATTTCAAAGTAGTACTCATCTGTCATTACCATTGTGTGTACCTCAGATTTTTTTTAATAATAGCCTTTACAGGATTGGTTCATAACTACAGGTGGTACATAAATCAGATATTCATTACCTAGTGACTGCCTATAATCCTTATAAGCATTTCAGGGGTGAAGGGATCACCTTCCTGTTCCCGAAGACCAAAAATTCTCTTTATTGATTACTATTGTACTTTCATAAAAACCAAAATAATTTACTAATTACACAAGTGTTTCTTATATCCAAGGAAAATTAATTCTGGAAAAAGCTTAGACACGTTTATTCACAAATATAAAAACAAAAATAGTTTAGTGACATTGGGGTAAAATATATTTGGATTATCTTAAAAGTAATGCTAACATTGTGAAATAAGATATTCTGTCTGATTTAAACCATTTGTAAATTATAAATTCCACTATGTGCTAATTCTCATAACAAGATAATATTGAATCAATATTGGTCAGATAATTTGGGCATTTTTTAAATGAAAGTATATGATAGCACTCTAATAGTCTGTGTAACACTTGATATTGAGTCATTTTGAGAGAGAATCAATTTTCTCGCAATCTTTTTCATTCAAATCATTCTTTTAAGGCCCTCATCTAAATTCACCAGTGTTATTTTCTCTTTTGCAATAGTTGATTGCTCCAACCCCCATTCTCAGTTTTTAGTGATCTTGTCTCTGTCTTGAGGTTTTTCACAAATTTAATTATCATTAAGTCCTGCATCTTAATGCAAAGTTTACAATCTCCACTTTCTTCTTTCAGCATTACAGCTCCTCTGTATTGTGTGTATATCATTCAGTGACAGTGAACGATTGGTTAAAGCAAATAGGAAGTCGGATTAAATCCAGGAAAGGCCTGTCTGAATGGGGATTGGTTTATGAGGTCAACTCAGAAATTAGCATTTTCAGATTGTAACTGCTTTTGCTTCCCTACCCACCCTTCAGTTGTGTTGTTGTTATTGTTGTTGTTTCTAAGTGCTGTTCAGTCAGTTCTGACTCCTAGTGGCCCACGTACACTAGAACAAACACTGCCGGTCCTGCACCATCCTCACAATTGTTCGTAAGCTTGAGTGCATTGTGTCTTTTTTGCTGGCCCTCTACTTGACCAGGCATGCTGTCCTTCTCCAGGGACTGGTCTCTCCTGACAACACGTCAACGTGTGTGAGACCAAGCCTCACCTTCCTTCCCTCTAAGGAGCATTCTGGCTGTGGCTCTTCCGAGGCGGGTCTGCTTGTTCTTTTGGCAGCCATAGTCCTTTCGGTATTCTCCTCCAGCATCACACCCCACATGCGCCACTTCTTCTTCGTCCTCCTTATTCAGTGCCAGCTTTCACACACATAGGAGGCTATTGGATGAGATGCCCCCTAGCCCTCAAAGGAACGCTCTTGCTTTTCAGCACTTGAAAGAGGTCTTGTGCAGCAAATCTACCCAATTTAATGAGTCACTTGATCTCTTGAGTGCTGCTTCCATGAGCACTGATTGTGAATCCAACAAGACAAAATCTTTGACAACTTCAACCTTTTCTCCATTTATCATGAAGTTACCTATCGGTTCAGGTGTGAGGATTTTGGTCTTCTTTACAATGTAGCCTTCAGTATGAAGGCTACAATCCTTGATCTTCATCAGCAAGTGCTTCAAGTCCTCCTCTCTTTCAGCAGCAAGGTTGTGTCATCTGCCTATCACAGGTTGTTAACAAGTCTCCTCTGATGCCACATTCTACTTCATATTGAAAATTGAATCAATGAGGAACCACCTGTATGCAAGGACAGAATTTACACAGACAATGTATATTTTCTCACTCTTCTCTCTCCTGTCTCCTCCCTGCTCCCTCTTTCTCTCCGCTCTCTCTTCAGTCTTACTACCTTTATTGTTCTGTGGTTATTGTTTCTTGTTGCTCTTTCTTCTCCTAGCCTAGTTTTATGAGAAAAAACATGATTCTTAATTTAATGCCAAATCCTTCTATACCCTGACCCAGGGGTCCTCAAACTACAGCCCATGGGCCACATGTGGCCTGCCAAGGACATGTATCCGGCCCGCCGGGTGTTTTTGCCCCCTTTTGTCTTTTACTTCAAAATAGGATATGTGCAGTGTGCATAGGAATTTGTTCATAGTTTTTTTTTAAAACTATAGTCTGGCCCTCCAATGGGTCTGAGGGACAGTGAACTGGCCCCCTGTTTAAAAAGTTTGAGGACCCCTGCCTGACCTATACTCCTCTTAACTAAGATAAGGTCCTCTTTAGAAAATTGTTGATCAAATTTTTTAACTAAAAATTAACATCTAATTTTTGTTAGTTTGCTTAATAGGTATTTTAAAGGTCTAAAATGTATTCCTGCGAGATAAGATTTAAATGAAATTCTAGTTAAATACTATCTAGCTTCCTTTTTTTTTTGAGTCAAATTCCATAGGATTGTCAAGCGCCTTGACTAAGTTTTAATGGTTAACATGTGGAAAAAACAGGAATCCCAGCCCTTGGTGTGATTTCTGTCATTTGCTTCCCCTTTAGATGTCACAACTTGGCCCCATGTATGGAAATGGCCTACAGAACCCTCAGCTCTTCCCACAGTACCAGATGCCCATGTGGCCACAGCCACCACCACCCTGGCATCCACGGAAACCTTCATCTCCCTCAGGATCCAAACGCCAGAGCAAGACTGATCAAACCCAGGAGACCCAGAAACCCACCCAACCTCAGCCAAAAAAGCCACCCCCAAAGCGGCCTCTAAAGCAGTCTCCACAGGCCACACCTCAGCCCACAGAGGAAGCTCCCACCCCTCAGGTGAGGTTTGTCCAGCAAAGTTCCGGGTCTGAATAATCAAAGTGCCTCCCAGGACGTGGGAGGGCCATGACATTACTATCCATATACTTGGCCCGTTTGCTCCTCAAGATGAGGGCTGCTCTATAGGAGGTGAGGCAGTGGTTATTCCTCTGCAGCTAACCAAATGTGGGCAGAGCAAGAGCACCCGATGTCCTGTCTTCCATGAAAATCAAGTCCATTGCCATCGGGTTGATTCTAACTCATAGCAACCTGTAGACAGGGCAGAGTTATTCCCCGGGGTCTCCTAGGCTGTTCTGTTAGTAGCAGAACCTTTCATGGCTGCACCACTGGGCTCCTCCCTAGAGAATACAACCTCGGAAACCCCATGGAGCAGTTTCACTCTGTTCTGTCAAGTCCCCATGAAGAGTCAACTCCAGGGCAATGGGTGCTAGAGGAACGGGGGACTGCGAGTGGCTGTGACCGGTTGCTCACAGTTCCACTCCACCCAACAGCTCCATAAAACGAAGACCTTATGAATTGTTCCCATGAAGATGAGAGCCAAGAAAACCCTATGAAGCAGTTCTACTTGTAAGAGATGGGTTTGTTATGTGCTGGAAATAATTCAAGGGCAATGGGTTTGTTTTGGGTGTTCCGTGTACACAATACTAGCTTTAGTTTTGACACTTTCTTTCCAGATAAAGCTGTAGCCAACTTCCAAAACTGCTGCTGAGCCCATGCCACTCAATCTGGCTCAAAACTCCCCAAATGCTATTACCTTAAAGACTAGTCCCAATTACTATCCAGTCAATTCTGACTCCCATTGTGATGAACCGATGCACAACACAGAACTGTCCTCCTGCTGAAAGACAGAGAAGAGACAATGGGATACGGTAACAGGAGAAATAGTCTGAAAGTTGGGAAATAGATTCATAATCTAATTCTAGCACTTTGAGCAAGCCAGTTATTGTTCTAGATTCTATGAATAGTAAATAATCTTTAAGTCCCTTCCAGACCTATTAATATTGGAAGATACTTCAGGGTGATACAAGTATAGCGCTGAATGAAAACAAGGAGAAGCACAAATTACTTATCAAGATCTCACACATTGTGGCATTATAAGATACCGGCTTTCAGTTTGCTAACATTTATTTCCAAACTACTACAGATGTAGGAAATAGAAACTTAAATTAAAAGCCACTCCTGGATTTTAATTCTGGCTTATTTACCAGCTATAGATTTGGGACAAGTGGCTTACTTAGCTCCCCTGGACTCCATAGTTTTAAACAAATAAGCATTTTCCTTCTAGAGTCATGTGAATATTATGTGATTTTACCAACATAAAATGATGGGTACAGTGCTCAGTACTAAGCACTCAATAATATTAGTACTATTGTCTCTGCTCTAGAGAAAAATCACTTTAATGGAAAGGATATGCAGACTCCTAGGTTTCTAATAATTATGTCTAGTTGGTTCATTTCATATTTAAATTTATTTTTCTAATCACTTTGTGTGTCTTCTCTCTAGGCATTCCCACCATTTAACAATGGGCTATTTCCCTACCAACAACCACCATGGCAAATCCCACAGGTGAGAAGTTTTTCTTTCTATCAGAAGTGAAAAAATATTATATCTCAAATTATTATGAGCACATCACTCTAGTGGAATCCCCTGTGCCAACCAGGAGCGGGTAAGAAACAAACGCTTCACATTGGAGTTCATGTTGAAAAAAATGAAGAAATTTGTTTAAGATAAGTTTTTCACTCAAGCAGATTGATGACATGAACATAGTATAAACAACCAAACCATTACTAATAACTTAGTTTTTTAGCTTTAAAGACTTGTGTTTAATACCTTGTTATTATTTTCCACTTCTCTGAGAGATTAGAAAACAGAGTATTCTCCTTTAGCGTAATGGGAAACTGGAAAAAAATGAAGTTTTCAAATTTAAGGCAAGTTACACTTAGATTAAGATCTTTTCAAAAACAAACAAAATAAACATTTTTAAAATTTAAGATCTTCTTGTTATATGTTACTATTTTTAGCCACAATAGATTGTTACAAATAAACTTGAAAAAATAATATTTATAAGAATTCTCCCTTTAAAACATTAAAAAGTAATATAGAGATCGCATCATAGACACTTAAAATATAAATAGCAAAATAAACTGTTTGAGTTAAAGAAATACTTAATGACCACTGCTGTTAAAAAATAAGAACCAACATTAAAATATATTTGAAGGCTCTTTACTTAGCAATGACATTAGTTTTCCTGGTCTATCACAAGAAGGCTTCTTGTTAACAAGAAATCATTCATTTCAAGGTGTAAGAGCATCTGAACTTCTTTTTCTTTAAAAGAGGACTTCTTTTTCCTGGATATATTGAATGAAAGAAACTAAGGTAGAACCTACCAGGTAAAAGTGTTCAAAACATAGAAATGAGATTCTCAGGCAGAGGAGCTATTAATCCCGTCTGCATCGAACGTGCTGAGCAGCTGTGAGAGCTTTGCTAAGAACTTCCACTTTGTAGCAATCGATGAGCGGAAACTCAGCCTCCAAGTTTGATTAGGAAAATTAACCTTCGTCAAATAAAAAATAATTCAGCAATAATCAAAAAAGAGGATTGAAGAATTGTCAGTTTATAGTATAAAATACATATTCTGAAAATAAGATAATGATTTAATTTCCATTACTAACATGAATGTTTGAATTCCCATGACATGCAAGCCTTGCCTGCATATGCTGAGTTTGTATGGGTGTGTGTGTTTTGCAGGCTGGGTGGGCAATTTTTAAAAGATGCCACCATGCAAGGTCTTTTGAATAAGACTATCTAGGAGGCAGCTAAGGCCTTTGTATTTACCAGTATTCCTTGATGGATGATGTGAGAGCTCTTAATAGCTAGAATGAGGGGAGCTAAAAGTTACCATCCAAACCCTGATTTTGGCTATTTTAAGACCCTTCCAGGGGTATAGCAGAATAGAAAATGTTTTGTTCCTGTATTTATTGGTTTGGGGTTTTGTTGCTTGATTGTGTGTGTGTGTGTGTGTGTGTGTGTGTGTGTGTGTGTGTGTGTGTTCATTTGTTTTTTTCATCTTTCAGAGGGTACCACCAGGTTATGGACGCCCACCAATCAGCAATGAAGAAGGAGGGGTGAGTATAAATAATCTCTGGGTTTTTTCATCTTCATCTACTAATAAAGTTAAAACTTAGCATATAAATCTGTAGCTCAAGTACTCAGGATTTTTTTTTAAAGTTATACAACAAATCAAACCAAAGACTTAAAGTGTGATGTATTATTTCTCCTCTGCATGTATTGAAAGTTTGTTCAACCTGATGGGAATCTCTTCCCTCAAAGAAGGCTAGTAAGATTTTCTTCAGGTTGAAGCTGGACTCTAGACAGGGAGGAAACAGTAAACAGAGGAGGAAGTCAGAGTATGTTAGGCTGTTATCCTTGGAAGGTAATTTAATAATACCCATTAGACAAGTTCACGTGCTAAGTGAGTGGCTTCGTTCATGTGGTAGGTGAAACTTGCCTTCTAACTCCTATGCAGTGACTCTTTTACTACACAACACTAGAAGAGCCAGAGTGGTCGACCTTTACATTTTCCCAGAGCCATGTCATCCAAAAGTCATTTTTGTGATTACCACACAACACCACGCGTTCCTGTTTGCCCTAAATCTGTGATATGTTCTCAGTGAAAATACGGAAATCCAATAACTCTGGAAGTTTTTGTTCTTAAAATAAAGACATTAAAGATTAGGAGCCCTGGTGGAGTAGTGGTTACTCATTGGGCTGCTAACCGCAAGCTCAGTTGTTCAAAAAAACCCAGCCATTCTATGAGAAAAAGATGAGACTTTCATTCCCATAAAGAGTAGAACCCCACGGGGGCAGTTCCCTGTGCCACAGGGCCATTATGAGCCTGTCAGTCATGTTAGTAGTGACATAGTGTGCTTTTTAAAAAGGCCTGTGAAATAGTCCCAAATAGGAATGATTAGTCTCCTTGTCATCAGCCTAGCCACTGCGATATTTCCACGGCGGTAACATGACAGAATGGAGTGGAAGGGCTCAGGCATAAGCAGCACAGTCTGTAGCCCCCTCCTGGGGCGCTGCCAGATTCCTGTATGATCATGGAGCTGTATGCTCACCAATCTCTAATCTCCATCTGGGAATAAAAATACTCTTTCTCCACATTTTTGAAAGAAAAGCCAAAAGGCCTAAATGCCTCACAAACGTCTTGTAAACCCCACTGACTACGCTCATGATAATCAAAACATTTATTGAACAAACGTTGATTAGGCACTAGACAAAGATGAGAAGTATACTGTTGTCACTGACACACTTCACAATCAAAGGGGAGCTCCTGGGACCACAGGCCAGGGAAACCCAGTGGGATCATTGTTCTAGCAGAAGAGTGGCCAGGTGTGGACTCCTGGGAACAGCCCAATTCAACCCAGGGAAGTCCGGGAAGCTTCACCAAGCAGGTAGCATTCAAGTTGAGTCCTAACGTGTAAGTCAAGTTGGCCAGAAAGCATAAATGTGCAGATGGGGGTCAAGATTCTGCATGAAGAAGTCATTGCAAAGTCATTGAAGCACAGAGTACTCGGAAAACCAGAAGATGCTTCTGCCTAAGTGCCGGAGAGAGGAAAGGAGGTCCGATATAGGGATCCTGGGCCATATGGTGATGACGATAATTGTCTAATATATAACATTTATGGGCCACTTACTAAGTATCAGACACTAATGTTTACATGCTATCACATTTGACCCTCACGACAACCATGAAGCAGCCATAATTTTATTATCTCCATTTTACAAATGAATAAACTGAGTTTAGCCCAGAGTCGTACTACTACTAGTAGTGGACCAAGAATGTTTAACCCAGTCTGTCTAGAGCAGTGGTTCTCAGCCTTCCTCAGGCCGCGACCTTTAACACAGTTCCTCATGTTGTGGTGACCCCCAACCATAAAATTATTTTCGTTGCTACTTCATCACTGTCATTTTGCTACTGTTATGAATCGGGCAACCCCTGTGAAAGGGGTGGCGACCCACAGGTTGAGAACCACTGGTCTAGATTTTAGAGTCATGCTATACGGACGTGTCTATTATTCTAAGGGTTTTTAGATTGTCCTATAAGGTAAGAGCAACTTAAATACTAAGTGAAGGGAAAAGTGACAGAATTCCCACCCATCCACACTGAAGCCCCAGTATTCTAAGGTCATTGTGGAGGCAGGATTAAGGGGGGGAAACAAGACTAAATAGAACCCACCCAAGAAGAACACCATGGCAACAGTTCAGGAGTCCTACTGCTAAAGAGGAAAGTGTTAAGATTTACAGGATTTGGTCAGGAGTCATCTAGGAAAAGTGAAAGAAAGATCGGACACAAGATACTGGGTAGACAGGGGTCCAAACAGTCTAGGCACAGAATAGTCGAGAAGGACGTTATGGGTGCATTCGGTCGGAGACGTTCTGAAATCATCAGTAGGGTGGCCTTGCTGCCTCGGACTCCCGAGAGAGGGTCGGGGACCCCTGGGTGCCCTCATTGGAGGCGCGAGCCTGCACGGATGGCTCAGAGCAGGAGGGTGGATGAGGAGGATGGAGGATGCCACCCCTTTGTAGGGAGAGGAGACTGAAAAGAAGTGCTGGGAAAGTTAGAGACCCAGAGGGGTCAAGGGTGATGGGAAGCAGGGCAGCACCAAATAAGCACAGGCAATGGCGTCCAAGGAGGCCCTCTGGGAATTGAGATGCCATATGGATTATGGAAATTCCCAAGGCCACACACACCGTGCAACACAAAGAGCAATCGTTGGTTTTCTTCTTCTTTCCGACAGAATCCTTACTTTGGATATTTTGGCTATCACGGATTCGGGGGGCGTCCTCCTTATTATTCAGAAGAGATGTTTGAACAAGATTTTGAAAAACCGAAAGAAAAAGATCCCCCTAAAAAAGAGACTCCGGCCGCTGATCCCACCACGAATACCACTATTCCCGAGACGAACGCCACCCAATCGAACGCGGCGAGTGCCGGCGGGAGCCAGGTGGGAAACGACACCACCACCCCGGGACACGGCCCGGGCGCAAACCCCACGGCGCAAGACGGGGTCGGTTCACCCCCGGCAGTGAATGCTTCCAATCAGGGGGGCCCGGGAAACCGAACGCCCTGGGGCCCGCGGCAGCCAAACGTTTATGGAAATTATCCCAATCGGAATCCAGGCGGCCGAGGTGTTCCTGCGGGAAGACAGTGGCGCCCCGCGGGGCCCGCCGCGGGGCACAGGCCCTATGGGCATGGGCCTTTTTACCGAACTCACCAGGTGCCCAGGGGTCCTCGTCGCAACACCTTCGCTTGGGCAGGCAAACAAGCGCCCTGGCCGGGAAACCCAGCTTATCGCAAAGCGTACGCTTCGATTTCCAGAGGCAATGCTCCCAATCCTGCCAGGAATCCAGCAAATTTCCGAAGAAAACCCCAAGGGCCAAATAAACAGCCTATGGGAGGCAATGTGGCCCAAACTTTGGCAACCAAACCTGGTACTGTTGTCCGCAACGAAAAAATCCAAAATCCGAGGGAAACGCCTCTCGGTCCAAAAGAAAGAATCGTTGTTCCTACAAAGGAGCCAACTGCCCCCTGGAAGAACTCTCCAGACGATGGGGTTAATAAACCAAGTTATAAACCGCCTCATTCTGAGGGTAACAGGCCAGTCCCAAGCTTTAATTCCATTGATCAACATGAAAACGTCTATTACCCAAGAGGAGACTCCAGCAGAGTCCAAAATGCTGATGGCCAAGCCCCAAACCAGCAGTTGCCCAAAGGAATTGTTTTAGAACCAAGAAAAAGCCCATATGAATCAGAGACTAATCAACCAGAATTAAAGCCCAGTGCATACAATCCCATATACCCTGAGGAAATCCCTTTCCCTGCAGGGGGACGTTTTCCTCCAGGAAGAAACCACTGGACCCATGGAGAACTCTCTCCCACTCTGCAGGAGGCTCTGGGAAGGCAGGAAGGACCCTTGCCTCTTCCTTCCCAGGGCTCTAGAGGAAGTGTTTTCTACTCTGAATATAACCCCTACCACCCCAGGGAAAACTCACCCTACCTCAGGAGCAACACTTGGGAGGAGAGAGGTGATCCTCCAAATACCAGGGGGCAACCAGAAAACCGACTGTACCGCATGAATACTCCAGATCGGAAAGAGATAGTCCCTTATAATGAAGAGGACCCAATTGATCCAACTGGAGATGAACCTTTCCCCCGACCAGGGAGATGGGGTGAGGAAGAGTCTAGCTTTAAAGGTAGCCCAACTCTTAGACACTATGAAAGCCAACGATATGCCTCAAACCAGCCAAAAGATTATCTTCCCTATACCTTAGAAAATCCCTCCAAACCAGCCGGAGAATATCTCCCCTACACCTTAGAAAATCCCTCCAAACCAGCAGGAGAATATCTCCCCTATACCTTAGAAAACCCCTCCAAACCAGCCGGAGAATATCTCCCCTATACCTT